AGTTTGGCAGCGATCAGTGAAGTTCGCCTCACTGTATTTCGCTGTACGATGATGATGATGATGATGATGCAGTTGTCTCTGCGTTGTACCGATGTGGATGGTTAAGGAGCCACACTTGAACTGATAGATACAATTAGATTTGACGTGCGGAGACAGCGGTTCTTTCACCGAGGGTACTGGTACCCGGACGGTTGTAAAAACAACGATGAGATCCCAACGGCCGATTTTAAGCGCTCGGGGATCAGACAGCTGATATCGTCACCCTTGACCGGTAATTGCAGGACCACTTTTCCCGTGTACGGTTGGGTTGGGAGTGATTTAAGATAAACCCTTTCGGATATTCGGTAGGTTGTAAAACTTTTTTAATCTTGCCAGATCCGTTATCCGCTGTGCAAATCTGTCGCGCCAAGTAGAAGAGCGATCGAACTAGACCAATCCAACATCCCATTGGGGAAAGCCAGTAAAATGGAGATATTGTCCATACCATGTATCTTTTCGGTGCTCAGATCTGATTGAGCTATCCGTTCAACTTTAAACTTTCACATCCAGAAAGGCGATGCTGTCTTGCGTTTCAGCGTGTGTCAACGTTATGATCGGGTGAAGATTGTCCAAGCGTTCAACTAATCTCCCCTCGCCTTTCTTTGCATTACAGATGATGAATATATTATCAACATAGCGGCAGTATAGATCCAGGTTTTCAATTTCGTCCCGCAAATGATGTTCCAGGTAATTGACGAAAATGTCCGCAAGAATGGGCCCCGGAGGACTCCCTATAACGACTCCATCTATCTATTGATATCGTTTACCTAAGAAGGAGAACTTAGCATCATGGGTACACAACAACAAAAGCCGTTCCAACTTATCCGCTGGTAGTCCAACGTGAATGTTCTTTTCTTACATAGTTTGACGACTAATCGCAATTGTCTCCAGTAGGGGGATTTTGGTGAAGAGTGCATTTACATCCATAGTAATCATATGTTTGTTTTGAATGTATGTCTTTAAATAATGTGCACAGTTCATATATAATTGAGAAGTCAACCTTGTTTGGAATCGGTCCAATCTACACCCACGTAAGTTGTATTTGTGGGTCAACGTATAGGGAGATAGTGAAGGAGTGGACAAGGTACTAAGGAAGAACGAGAGTAACTAATTCAAGAGATATCAACATTTATCCGAGGTATGTTTATCGCAAAATCCGTCTCTCAAAAACCTCCGCAAGCTTGCCCACTCACCCCAGTGACGGTTAGCCATCATCTTGCGCCCACATTTCGGATCAGTGTGATTTCAGCCGTGCATACACTTGTATATTTCGCATACGCCTGACGCTAGACTGTATGCCAAACAAATCATGGTACAATAATCTTTATGAAAAAAACGAAAACGTTCCATGATTTGCATGTGAGCTGAATACTGCCAAGCCAAGGCGGGTGAATTCTCTTGGGGTATCCGCAACCGTAGCCAAAGCGTAACTCGCAAGGTAGCGGGTCGGTGTGTGAGAACCGCAATCTATTGGAGGCGGGTGTCCAGTTCATTGGATCATACGCCCTTTGGACGGGGTAAAACGTCTAAGGTGCCCAATATACCACGATGCTCAATGAAACCGGCGACCACTGCCACAATCGGGGAGGTGTGTGGTTTGTGCGCCTCTTGGTTAGTTTGAAATCAGGGTTTTTAGCCAACTCCCTTAGGTGGACTACCAGTGGTCCACCAACCCGGTTATAGCCCCGAATGTCTTCTATTGATCCTTTCACTTTGGTGGAAAAACATCCGTCACGAGAAGGCAGTGAGTAGGGCTTCTTCAGCAGAGACTATTTGAGACCCTTGGTCGTATGGGAGCATTTCGCGAGGTGCAAGGGAAGTGTGACCAGCCGCAACCCTAGACACCCACCCCCGACAACCTAACATGTTGCTCCAACCTCTTATGGCAACAACCATAATCGTCTTATCTGTCGAAGGTTGAAGCACAAGGTCGAAATTGTCTGCTTAACGCCCTAAATGCGTCATATCTGGCAACACCCAAAGGTGGTGCCGATGCCATTGCGGCTAGTGAGTCTGTCAGTGCACGACAGCGCTCACATTAGCTGGGATTCAGTGCAGAACGTCCTTGTTGCAGACCCCAGGACCCAAGCTAAACTAAATATGGAGTGGTGGTGGTCAGTAATTGCTTTCTGTTCCCTGTTGACCAGCCTCAACCACAATCCGTTTTAGGTCGAAAAAGACACATGCCTCTTATTCCATTTGAAGTTCTTTTTTGGGTCTTCAAAAGTTCGGCAAACCGATGATAGCCTAGAGACGTGTTTTTCCTCGTTTACCGTAGTTGAGTTTGTTGTCCCCAACGCGCGCTCATTGCAGGTCTGTCACCACTTCCGTCTCGCAGTGCCGGGTGAAATCTAGCACCAATGATGTTTGATTTGGTGGACGGGGTCGCCCGCCCATTGCATTTGCAATCTGGTTCAATATGAGGTATGGATGCATCAGCTATTCTGCCGCCTTCCTGTATCGCAATCGGACTGACCACCAGTTTCTGCTTTTTGTAGAGCTTAGGCCACTTATGGGGGATAGCATAACGACGTGGTACACTGATCACTGAGCTTGGTCTTTGTGCATATCGGTTTTCAGACAGTCTCATCCATACTCACAACAGCATAGCCGTAAAACAGTCTGTATCCACAGTGTTGACGCGTAGATTTATAGCTGGCGATGTGGTTAATCGAGTGCAAATTGAGTGAGTAGAGGGCAGGACCTTTGATAAGTCCTCGAACTTGGTGACCACCTCCAGATAGATTATAGATTTACCCCTGCAAATTATGAAAATGGTTTATTTATCATCCTTGCCCTAATGTTAGAGTGGAAGAGAAGTAATTCTCGGAAAATTGTTTTATAGCGCGTAAAGACGATAGACGTGGGTGTATGGAAAAGTTGGGGTTACAAGATAAAACAATGAGAGTAAGGTAAGCCTAGATAAAGTCAGGGACTAGTGATGGCCACATCTTATCCAAACGGGCCTTGAAATGGGTTACTGTTTGAGATGAAACACCATGTTCATCCAGTTTGTTCAATCGATTTGTGATTCTATGTGAAAAATTGCACTTACACTTTTAAGTGCACTCTCGTTGCAGAGTTTCCTTCTAGGGTGAAGAGGGACGAGGTAGTAGTGGACAATCTTTTCATCGGTTTGAATACTTCGATGAAATCACTCTTGAGGCGTCTACCATTGAGGAAAAAAGACACGAAGTCCATAGTCTTTCTTCATATGGGATTTCCCTCAAGCATGCAATGGTCTTTATAAACCTTCGCTGGACATTTTCCAAGAGTTACTGATCTCTTCTTAGGGTTGGGGCCCAAGCTCGCCCGGCATACTCAAGGTGCGGCCTTACTATTGCCTTGTTTAATGGTATGAGAACTTGGGGAGCTCTAGAGTCTATTATCCTACGTAGTTGGTAGATATCCCTCTGTGCTTCGCTTGCTTCAGATGACTTAAATGACTCATGAGTATGCACGTCCAAGTTCCTTATTTCCGCTCTCTGGCTGGGGACCCCGAGATCATCGTCACCGATGGTTAGAGACACTGATTGATATAGCTGGGTGTCGCAACCAGTGGCGCGTATGCCTCCACTCATTATTCTCCTAACACTAGTCTGTATGCATTCTCCATGTTGTACTTGAATTTGCTTTCGACATTTTAATCTTCATTCTGCTCTTTTATCCAAATGGGACATCAAAAGACAGTAACCAAAACCGGCGCACGAAAGTGCGTGGTTAATAGTTGTAAGAACTGAACTGAACTCTATGGTCTGGGTTGATCTGGTTGATGGTTCTAGGTGCAGTTGGTTCCCCAGTCCGTAGCTGCCTATGCCTAGGGCTAAGCCCCAGGTTTTAGACCACTGGTGGACGGTATTTGGGTCTGCTCGTATGGGTTGCCGACGATCATAGCATAATCGACAAATAGGTAACTAAGAGACTAACCTGACGGTCAAGTCATTTATAAAAATGCTGAAGAGTAACGGCCTCAAGATTAAACCTCGAGGTTGTACTTTCTAGGTCCTCCATATCTCTGCGTTAGTAAGGGGCCATGCCTGGGCAGTTAACAGAAAAATGCCTTGCACAATTAACTGAACACTTCCTGTTTCCTACAAGTTCAGTTCCGTTCCCATAGGACGATTTTTGGCTTTTGCCAATCGATCGTCGCGGTACATGCGTTGTCAACGAGTTTCCGCCGCGTCCAACACTGCGGTTTGCAATTTTTCTGAAAGAGCAGTATCACATCCTTTGAGGTCAGGTTACGGATAACAAACCCAAACGCTTACCTCGGAGAAAATCACTGTCAGCAAATCTAATGCTTTAAAGAATATTTACCTTATCACAGATTATCGCTATCTGCGTAACCGGTTTCATTGCGGCTAACGGTTTCTCTGTAGACGCAATTTCTGCCCCCTCCTGCATGTATACGGAACCAACGAGGACAGGTCGCCAAACCTAAAACCT